CTACCCATACCGAGACACAAATATTTGTTGGGTAGACGAGTCATTATACTCCTTACACGATTGGTTTTGCTTCCGAAATGGCTCCTGCCCTTTTCGTTTTTGATGTAAGTAAATCCTACGTGCTAATCTATTACGGGCAGCACTAAGTGATGAAAATTTACCCTCCAATGGTTGAACTGAATTAAGAAAAAACCAAATTTAAATTAACATTACATAAATTCCTTCCAAGTTAAATTGGTTGGAAAGACATAATCCAAACTTATTTAAACAAAGAAACAAATGGGTACACCATATACCATTTTGTGGTCTACAATGCCGTTCCTTATTGGCGATGAGACACGTCGTCTCTGTCGTGCAAGTTTAGGCAATTCAACAGTAATTCTAGATAGTTCAGTCTTCAAAGTTTGTAGTTCTGCCAAAATATCGATCATATACCCAATAATTTCGAATGTATTAACTCAGAAAAGCAATCCATTGAGAAAACCATCAACCTAGGCAGAATGTTTCCCCTTATACAATAACTGTGTTTGAAGGTCGATCATACAAAAATAATAGTACATTATATCATGTTGTACATTACCTCTGTCTAAGACCTCAACATCCTTTTGAACCGACGCAGGAGCATTAGTTACATGAGTAGATTGGAAGAAAATAGCACGACGTTTCCCTAGATCATGACAACAAACAATTCAACGACCCCAAGTTGTACTTTAGTTAATATTTATAAGCAACTTTGTTTGAATAAAAATGCCGAAGTTCGGTATTCAAACTCACAGGGCACACTGGATCTCATGTTACTAACATCGAGTTTGGAAAGTGATGAGTCCCCCTCTTCACTTTCACATGTATCCATATTTCGTATTCACCAGGATACACAACAGATGGAAATGGCGTGTTCAGTTGTTGTGATGATTTAAGAAGTATGAGAAGCTACACCAAATCCTAAGAAGCATTAGAGTGGGAGAATTAGACATAAAGTGAGGGGGTATGCATCATCCCAAACAACATATAGGGAACAACATTCAACTCTAATTGACAATGAAACACAAACTGACGCAGACGACCATATTGGAAGTGATGAGTGAAAGGTGATACAAATAAATCCTAATCTTCATATTTTGCATGAAATTTTAGAAGTAGAACAAAGTTAAGAATGCTCATTTGTAAATTTTATGTGATATAAACAATCTATATGGGAACTTGGCAAACTCTTAACATCAAAGGTAAACTTATATAGGGTTGTGCCCAAATTCTAGAAATTAAATGCTCTTGTGATATACAACAGAGGAAAAGCGTAATACCACTTATATATGCTTGAATACAAATTTCAACAACTACTAACACAATTCCGTTGTACTTTGTAAGAACCCCGACAGATTGAAATGGTTTGGGAAGGAGTATCCATGTTGAGCTTCGGTTGCAAAAAGTACAGCTTCAGTAGAGGAATCGGAATTTGGGCAGACGACGGTCAAATGCAACCAAACTTGAATGAACGCTTGCTGAAATGGAAAAACAATATTAAGATCATAATATATTGGCATGATAATCCTAGAAAACACATCGAATAAGGCAAATTAGACTTCCAAAGTCGAAAGGGAAAAAGTATGCTAGCCATAACCAAGCTATGCAATGGCATTTTCAGTATGCACTTGGTCAATTGAGCAAAACTCATATGATGAACACAAAATAAGAATACACTTTAACTAATAGACATACCAACTCGATATAGAAAGTGTCTTACCCCTCAACTAACTAAGCAAGCTACTACCTAACGTCATCAGGAGATATTTTTTTTTTGTGACACTACCAAACTGATAATTGATGTCAAGGGGATAATATGTTTCTTGCCAACATTAGGATCGACGACAAAAACATGACATGTTTAACTGAAAGATGCATACACAGAGAAGTGATAACCTACCAACTCAATTATCAAAGTCAATAATAACCAAGCAGCTGTGAAATTACCATATACCTTACTCCGCAGCAACAAAACAACGTTGTTTATAGTGCAATATGTCTAGCTTCGTATTAGGCCTGCAACACATCACATCCCAACTTATTATCAGAGTCGGTAAAGCATGGAATAAATTTGAAACAACTCAATGGACATTCATTGTATCCCTTATGCATACAATGGGTAATGGTATGGCCAGATTAGGTGCGATTCGCTACTCACATTCCGCAAGATAGTGGAACCATTCTTTCTAAAAATGAGGCAAAAAGATTGGCGCATTGCATGATGGAGTTATAAATAGTAGCATGAAATGGTCATCCTAAGTGGCACCGAACTTGTATAAAGACTATGATAGAAATGAGGGCCACCAAAAACACCAATATTGCCTACTTAACATACCAAGATGATCGTAATTCAAATCCTATACTGTTACTGGAAAAAAGAGGTATCCCTTTGTCAAAAGTAGCTCACATATGTAATGTAAGAAGCAAAGTATCATAAATACGTAATCCCACAATGATATGCGCACGAGATTTGGGCATCAGAATTCACGATAAGAAGCAGCAAACCATGCACAGACAACCAAACCAAATTACCTATAAACTCTGACATCCAATATTAGAAAGCAACGAAAGTGAGGGTTAGAGTAAAGGTCTTAAATGGTGAAGCTATTCTATTGAAGTCAACTTTGCAACATAGCCTACGGATTGGACTTTGCAATGTAGCCTCCTCGGATTGCAAGGGAAGCAGCCGATACAAACCCTAATCGCATAGACCCGAGCCAATTCCAACCCCAAATCCAACCTGTTCATGAGAATGGGGAACCCTAAGCCCGACAGACCACAAAGACACAGGGGTATACCTGAACTCGAAGAACCATCGACAAAAAACAAACTGGAATTGGTACACAACCAAAGCCCCCATATACAATTATTAGCCAAATATGAAATTGAGGTTCTAAATTCAATTGGATGAGAATACAGATAGAATAATAGGAAGAAGATTACCCAGATAAAAAGTTTTCGTCATTGTTGCGGGAGGGAGAATTGAAATGGGGATTGACGATCTGGTTCCAAATAGGAGAAGAAGAAATAATAAGAGGGAACAACTGCGGGGAAGAACTCGTGAATCCCAAATGCAGTCCGCTGTAGGGTAACAACCGCCCACCAAATCGCGGTCTTGTTCTCCGAACCGTTTACAGATCGAGGTCTTCTTCTCGAAGGTTGGGACAGGGAAAGGAAACTGCTGAGTTCTCTCTTCAATCGAATACGAAACTGAAGAGAGATAAATGGGAAACACGTAAGTTTGGCCAGCTGGGAAAGAGAGATGGTCCAATTACTAAATTACCCCATCGAAAATGAAGGAGAGAGCAGGAAATTTGAATCCCTGAAAAGTTGCCAAAAGCGTGCAATATATTAATGGTGGATTTGAACCATAGATCGTAGGTGTGATCCGAGCTTAACCAGAGCACACCGTTTCCTAGCACTCCTCGCCGACGTTTCATCATTTCCCAAGCGCCGCCTCTTCACGAGGAAGGATCCTATGACTAGGGGGGAGGGTGCTTAGTCACTTGACTAAGCCCCTTCCAGCCCTTAGATCTGGAGACAACAATCTGACGGTTAAAAAGTGGGAAGGGTTATTTAATTAATGATAGGGGTAGTTTGGGTATTATGGAAAATTACTAAGTATACAAACTGGACTTACAATAAGTACAAACCATACAAACATACAAACAATACAAACTAGAGCAACAAAACATACAAACAGATTTACAATCAATACGAAACATACGAACTATACAAACAATACAACTAGACCGACAAACAATACAAACCATATAAAAATGGAAAAACAAGCGGGTTGACTTTGGAGGCTTCATCCCTATATAGAGGGGCTCCGTCCCAAAGTCAACCCGGTTGTTTTTTAGACATACAAACATGGTGGACAAACATTACAAACTAGACCGACAAACCATACAAAATGGAAAAACACCCGAGTTGACTTTGGAGGTTTCATCTCTATATAGAGAAGTTCCATTCAAAAGTCAACCAGGTTATTTTTTAGACATAAAAAACATTACAAACATGGTTGACAAAAATTACAAATATGGTGCAAAAAATAACAAAGCTTACAAACATTACAAAAGTAACAGACATACATTACAAAATAACAAAACTTACAAACATTACAAAAGAAACAAGCAAATAGTACAAAACATACTAACCGTATAAAATACTACTGCTTATAATACAAATCGAAAAATCCTCCTTCACCGTCTCTGGTTGCCGGAAAACCTCCTCCACCGCCGTCGGAAAGTTGACCAAAACTCTCTCTCTGCGGGCCACAAGTGATAAAATCACTTGGATTGGGACAAAAAAATCCCACAGTCGCGTGGTAGAATTCTCAGAAACGGACCGGCGGTGAGAGGACGGGGACGGTACACTATTATTATTTTTTATTTTAATTGATAAATAAATTATGTAATTACAATCTTATCCTTTATTAAACTAGATAAATCTGAGTCATTAGATTTTAACGAGGTTCAATAGTTGACATTGGCTTACTCATGTTAGTTGTGATTAAGGGACCTTGGCCCGCCTCTTCCAGTCTAGTTATTCTGCTAACTTGAAAATTCGTTAGTATATACTAATTAATATCCAAAATGTATGAACTAATATTCAAGTCTGCTGAGTATCTAGATAGCACAGACTAGTATTCAAAACATCACAAACTAGTATCCAGGTAGCAGATACCAACTAATATCCACAATCAACTAACTAGTAATCAATACAGATACTCTTATGTGTTATCTGGATACTCTTATGTGTTGTCTGTATACTAATTATGTGCTGTATGGATACTATTATGTGTTGTCTAGATATTATTTTGTGAATTTGAGATAATAGTTGATTAATGATGAATAACAGTTAGCAAACTTTGAATACTAGTCTGTGCTCTCTAGATACTTTAATACTTGAATACTAATTCATGTATTTTAGATATCAGTTAGTATCTGCTAACGAATTTTCAAGTTAGCAAATTAACTTTCCACCGCCTCCTCACCCCACCGCCACCGCCACCGCCACCATTTGCGCGCCGCCGTGCTTTATGTCTTGTTCGCCACCTCCTCCCTCCTGCCCTAAATATTTACCAAATCAAAGCCTAATTATGTCCGCAAACCTTCTCCTTCCTCTTCCAGTTCCATCTCCCGCTGCCACCCATGCGCAGCTTAGCTTCCCCATGTCTATCCTACGCCGTCTCGGCCCCCGCCATCTAACCTCCTCTCACCTCCTCCATCGAAGACGTCTCTCCTCCTTCGCTGCCGCCGCCGTTGCCCGCCAGGATACTGCTGCTTGGACCCAAGCCCCGCTCTCCGAAATCGAGCCCGTCGCCGAGTCTCTCTTCCACGTCAGCATCGACGTCTCCGACCACCCTGACCTCGCCGCATCCCACACGCTGCCAGGACAGTACCTGCAGCTCCGAATCCCTGAGGTGGACAAACCTTCTTTTCTGGCCATCGCTTCACCTCCTTCGTTTGCTGCATCTAGAGGCGCGTTTGAGTTTCTGGTGAAGAGCATCGCTGGCTCCACGGCCGAGCTCTTGTGCGCCTTGAAGAGAGGAAATGTCGTGGAATTGAGCCATGTAATGGGGAAAGGCTTCGGGATCGATCAAATCGAGCCGCCTGAGAAGTACCCTACCGTTTTGATTTTCGCCACCGGCTCTGGAATCAGGTAAGCAACTTTCATTGGGTTTTCAAATGGGAGATTCGGGTGCCCTCCTAATGATTGCATATTTGTCCGGTGCAGTCCAATTCGATCTCTCATTGAGTCAGGGTTTGGTGCTAAACAGAGATCGGACGTGAGGCTTTATTACGGAGCCAGAAACCTGAAGAGAATGGCTTACCAGGTTTGCTTCCTCCCATCGATTATCCGTTGGCATGTACTCGTCGCCGTTTTTGTGCGAATGATGAATTTGGTTGCCTCTGGTTTTTGTTAATAGGATAGGTTCAAAGAGTGGGAGTCGTCCGGGGTTACAATTGTGCCTGTGCTATCACAACCAGATAGTAGTTGGAGTGGTGAAGCTGGCTATGTACAGGTTAGTTGTATGTGCTCTAATCCGTTTTCCGGGATTGGTTGTCTGCTGATATGGTATGGATCTAGTAAATGCCTTTCTACTCGATTGCTATGCAGGCTGCTTTTGCGAGGGCCACTCAGATATCAAGCCCAGCAGGTACTGGTGCTGTGCTTTGTGGCCAGAAGCAGATGGCAGAGGTTCGTTGCATATATGTTTTCTCTCTATTTAAGGTTTTTAGATGTTGTACTTGCCCTACGGTTTGAAATTGACCTAGGTAGTTATGGAACTTGATGCAAGTCAAAAGATCATGCTATAGAGATATGATGGAGGGTATTTAGCATGCAGTTGATTAGGTAGCCTTGAATTGTAACATCTGCGGAACGCGGAGGCAAAATCAAAATGTTTAAATCATTAGGGAAGAAGTTATATCCAGCTTCAATAGTTGCCAGTGAAAACTGTGGATTCCCCTCAATAAGAAAAAAGCATTTGCTGGAGCTTATGAGATGCAAAATATTAGGATTTACTTCAATCTTGTCTGCAGCATGGTTGATTGTTCATTGTCCGTTTGCTGCCTCAAAAGACTTTGTGATGTGCTTCTTTCTTAATTGAACTTGATGCTGATTTCCGTAAAAAATTTCACACTGTATGGTTTCTCACTGCTGTTTTCTCACTCAACGTGAGATAACTAGAGAATCAATAGGATACTTGAGACAACTTTGTAATTAGGCATAAAAGGGTGGAAGAAACAAATGTTAGAAATCAGTCCAGTACGTAATCTTGCTTCCAGTCAGTGCTTGTGAACTGGGAGATATTGGAGTTGTGTTTCACTTTCCATGCACTTAACTTTGGATGCCTCACCTCCCTGTACCAAGAATTGAGTCACTGTAGTTGGCAACCTTGTTTGGCTTTGTCCTTCAGAAATCACTGGAAGTGCCTTTTCGTTGTTTTGATATTGACCGAAACCTGCCATAGTGTCATGTGGCCCTTCTTCTGTTTAGCCGTTCAACTTTTTCCATCCACTATGGCCTGAACTTGACAACTTTGCTGGACATGAGACTCTGAGGTTGAATCTAAAAGTTTTGGCTTCTTAGTACTAGGGTCTTCCTTCTTGCTGCGTAGGCTGTTGTACATGAACCTTGTTAATAAGCCTAATGCAAGTTAGGGAACAGAATATGTGATGTGCGCAGTGCGCTAGTGTTTGGTGCAAACTGGTTAAGTATATTGATGAAAGATGCGTGGGGATGAATTAGGAACGTTGTTGAATATTTTTTTTTTTTTTTGCTGAAAGTAGGGGAGCTGTTGAACCTTGTTGGAAATGCTAGGAAAGGTTCTGATATTCTTCTTAGATGGTGTTGGAATTTGTTATTCCTGTGCTCGGACGAGTAGCTTACTGCAAATGTTAATTTATGGAGCTGTATGTATGCAGGAGGTAACCTCAATTCTTGTAGCGGCGGGCGTTTCAACAGATAAAATACTGAAGAACTTCTGATATGGAAAATGGTATCAATTCTTTGTTATTGTAAGTGGCAACTGGCGAGTGGGTGATGCAGTGCAGCAGTGGGGTGATGTTTTTGTCTCTCAGCTTAGCTTAATAACACCAATTTTGGTAGTTATTCATCTGCCATAGAATATTGCTAGCCTTGGAAAAATTCCGGACCTGATTCCAAAGAGGTTAAATGTAACGGTACATCTCTGAATCATAATACGAGAAAAAAGAAGGTAATGTATACACAGCATATTTATTTGACATTGGATGTACAACTTGACTTCATTTTTGCTAAATATACATAGTCACTCTCATTTTGTGAATGTTGTAAGAGTTGCTGATAAAATCCAAAGTAGTGTTATTTAGCCACCATATTTAAGGTCATTTCGCGGGTTCATTGGTTGATATGTCATAAAATATATTATTAATTTGTTCTTATGTGAATGTTTTCGGTGTGGAATATATTTTTAATTTTTCTATACTATGATGGTTGCCACTCTTAGTCTTGATTCCTTCCAAGTTAGACCAGACTGGACACATAACATAGACCAAATCACCCCTAATTACATAATCTTCTGGGTTTGTTCAAGGAAAAATACCTTGGGTATCACTTGAATTTGTGAAACCATACTACTTATATTAGTATAGGGCGTAGGGTATCATTAATGTTCTTCAATTGAGCGTATGCTCATTTTTTGGTACTATTGACTGACGACCCGAATAAAAAAAATATTTTTCACACATTAGTGTTGATCATTGGTTTCATATGTGCTGAGTCATTTTTGAAGGAAAAATTGACGCCAAATTCACCATCCTTCCCTTTTAACTCGGACTCTCTTTTTGTCTTCCCATTTCCCATTCTCTACCACTGCCACTGCCACTGCCAACTCTCAAAATCGCAACAACTTCATCTCTCTTAATATTTCATTATGTTCATTTGCCTCATCTTTTCCATTTCATTTTGCTACTCTCCTCCTTAGTATTATTAAGGCGTATGGCAACCCGAGTTTGTCGATGTGGTGAGGTAGTAATTTTTCGTACTTCTTGGACCCAGGCCAATCTGAGGCGTCGATTTTACGGGTGCAACAATTATGAGCTAAGTGTACTTTGACGTAATGAACCCATGAAGCAAGTTATTTGTGGTTTACTTTGACGTAATGACACTAGAGAGGGGGAACAATCAACCCTCTGTGTTCGTTGGAAGGATTAAGTTCATATTAACAATGTTGGAAGTTTTTATGATTTCTTACATGCGGAAGAATATGGAATGTTTCGGAGCCCATGCCTAATGCCTAATGTAGCTTGTATTATCAAGTATTTTATTGTGTTATGTGCGTGTTTACAGTAGGAAAACAACTACCATTTCATTGCTTCAAAAAATTTACAATCCTGTCCCTAAAAAAAAAAAAAAAAAAAATTAGGGAGTTGCTATTCGTCGTCCTATTATTACTATTTGTCGTCCTAAGTTCAATATATATTTACTATTTTGTCCAATCTTAAATTTGAAAGTAAATCAGCAAACAAACTCTAGCCATACCATTACCACCTACCTCCCGTCTCTCTGATTCTCGCTGGAAACCATACCCCCGCGTTAGCTTCCTCCTGCCGGTCCACCTCCACCGACTGCCGCCGACGAACAAGGCAGTGCGCCGTCTGAAATGCGACGACCTGTGACGAACCAACCTCGACCCATCGTAGGACTACGTGAGGAACCAGCTGCTGCGCCATAGCCACCCCTTCGCAAAACGTGTCCTCCCTCCTCAAGACCAGACTCCTTCACCGACCGAGAAGAGAAAATAGCTCGTTGCCTACCATGCTCCTACCGTCCCTTCTCGCCGAAGAAAACGACTGGGAAAGGTAAGAGCGGGCGAAATCCCTCCCTCAGTCGGTTGACCATTGGTCAAAACTCAGAATCCGTCAAAACCTCTATTTTATCGCTGGTCGGAACGCAGCATAGCAGACTCTTATCCCGCGGTTGAAACGCAACGACGCACTCGTTCGACCGTTGGTCAAAACGCAGTTGTTTGACCACTGGCCGAAACGCAATAACAGATTAACCAATAACCACGAGTCGAAACGCTGCAACACACTCGTTTAACCTTTGGTGAAAACGCAGCTTCAGTATGTTTGACTGTCGGTCCAAAACGGGCTTTGACGCGCGTTTGACCGTGGCCTCTCACTAACCACTATCGCCAGCGATTATCTGAGCGAGGAAAGGAGTATTTTTGATCAACGGCTACTGGTAGGCACTCAATCGAGGGAAGGACGAAACGACGACGGTGAAGGAGGAAAGCAACGACGGTTTGGTCCGGCGAGTTGCCCGCGATTGACAGGAGCTCACGCTGCCTCTGTTTTCGGTGAATTTCTGACGGTGAAGGAGGGAGCTGATGAAGGATTATGGTTTCAGTTGTTCGTTCCTTGGCTCGGTGAGACAGAAGTGAGGGCAGGACGACTAGACACTCGGACAGCTCGGGCCGGAGGAAGACATCTCGTCGTCGGGATGTACGGGATGGAAGGGATGGGCTCCAGTGTCACTTGCAGGGTGAGATGGGAGGAAAGAGGAGGATGGGCGCCGGCGGGATGGGAGGGGATGGACGCCGGTGTCTCTTGCATGGGAGAGGATCGGCGCCGGAGTTTGTCGTGGGTTCAGAGGAGAGGTGGGAGGAGAGACTACCGAGCAGCGGTGGAGGGGAGATGTGAGAGGAGAGAGGAGATAAGGTTTGTTAATTTTTAGGGTGTGTTTGTCTTAGTGATAATTTGAAATTTAGTTTTGGACAATTACGTAAATTGCGTATTAAAATTAGGACGATGCATAGTAATTTTAGGACGACATTTAGCATTTCAGTTAATTTACAATCCTGTAATTTCAAGTTGTTCTTGCAAATAATGTATACACACACATCCCGAAATGCTACATTAATGATGTTTCATATTGTTGTTGCAATGTATTGATAAAAAAGCTACCTGAAATGCTAGCTTAAAGATGCTTACATATTTTTTTTCTTCAAAAGCTTCCCGAAAGACTGCTTTTAAACATGCCACATATTGATATGGCAAAATAGTGGTCCAAATCTTCCTATAATGCTAGCTTCAACAGAACTTACTTCTACTTCTTCAAAGTTCTTCTTCCTGGCAAGTGCACTTCCATGAACCCGAAATAGGAATTTGAGGACTAGATTGCACTTAAACCAAAAAGAATAGCACTCTACAAAGGTATCTAGTATTTCACTTTTAAGAATAAAATATCAAACTTACCACAAGGCTTGGTTGATGGTTCCTGCTTCTAGCTCTAGATGTTTATTGTGAATTAAGTACACGAGCAGCCAATTCAACAAGGTTAAAATGTCGTGTTACAGGCCTATGAGTAGTGTCTCTAGAATACCAAACATCAGATGCATTTGCTTCATCTCTACCTCCACAATGTTCATTTGTAGTCCCCGACTGTTCATCTCCAACAGTTGATTACCGACTTCCTTGCTCATTCTGATGTACCCTCTTATTATGGCTCTCTAATCCGGATTGACTACAATGAATTTTCCCCTTACTATATCTCACTCTTGTATTGTTAGTGACTCGCTCGGAACTACACCACAAATTAATCCCAACCAGAGCCTAAGTTTTTAAACTCTAGTCGGGTGCAGTATAGGGCATATATTTAAATTGTCAACCCGGGCCGGTCCATGTACCCCTACTTCAATCGCTTACGTTGTTATCTAGCAAAACGGTTTTGGGTTTAAAATTAAGAAAACTACAAAATGAACAGACAAGGAAAGTAAATGGTGGAGAATTCTACGTGAGAGAGTTTCACCCGGGTATTGCTCCCCCTAGTCTCATGCTAAGAAGCAACAAACAAAGCTCTAGTGTGAAGGATGTGTTCATACACCGCTAGGTGGGCGCAATTAGTTAGGGACAAACTCCCTTAGTTGATCAATGAAGGGAAATCAACAAATATAATCTAGGGGAACATCTCTCCTAACCGTTAGGTCAAGGATTGTGATTCATAGCTAGAGAGTCTAGCCCTCTTTATCAATCAACCAAAGAGATCCATAACTCTCTCTTAGTTAGCTAATTGAGAGTCGTTGCAACAAGTTAGGAAGCTAAATCACTTAACCTTTCGGCTAAGGGTGACAAAGATAGGCTAGGGAACCTAACCCTCTCAACTAGCCGGCTAAGGATTGCAAACCAAACCCTTGGAACTTAATCCGGTCGACGGAGAGACCTATCCCGGTGGAATCACAGCCCTATTCCAATATTTGAGATTTTAGTCTTAAATTGACCTAAAAGAGGTTACCCAAGTGACTAAGGAGTCTAGCTCCTAAATGGACCAAGAGGGGATTTCCACCCTCTAGGTTAATTTCACACGATATTGAGTTAAAGATAGCACACTCAATCATTCATGAATAATACCTCAAATATTATATAAAACACTCAATCAACACAATAGGTTCATGTTCTTGCAACCTAACACATAGAGAGACTAGAGTTCACAATACCCAAGTGAGTAGGTAGGCTATTCCATAGCTAAACAAGAGAACACAATAAAAAGGGAAGAAATAACCATGAAGTGATGTCAATCTTTCCTCCTTGTTGCTTGAGACACCCTTGAGATGAAGAAATCATCAATCCTCTAGCTAGGAACAAGCCCAAAGCTCCTTCCTCCTCCTTTGATTTGAAATTTCTCACTCTCGAAGAAACCCTAACCTCTCACTAGAATCCTCTTTATTCTGAAAATGAAAACCTAACCTAAAATGAAGCTCTCCTTTCTGTCTCCCCATTGTTGTCTTCATATTTGCCCGAAAGTGACCAGTTCACGGCCGCATTGGCCAGTTCACGGCCGTGAACACCTAAACGCGTCCGTGAACTCAGTCGTCCCCAAAACGCACCGCTTTACTCTCATGGGTTCACGGTTAATGGCCCCAGTTCACGGTCTTAGCGACCGTGAACAACCTTGGCATCAGTAACATCTGAAACCTCGCTGGATTGCTCGACGTTCACGATTTGTGGTTCCAGTTCATGGTCTTAGGAGACCGTGAACTCCCTTGTTTGACTGTGAACTGCGACTGCTTCTTGGACGTCTGCACTTCACTGTTACGGGGCAATTGTCACGGTCGCTTTTCTTCGGTTTTTGCCCTTTCGGACCTCCAATTATCCCAAAATTCGACCTGGACCCTTCCACACGTGCTAGGACCTTAAATGTATCAAAACAAACACAACCCAGCGTGAAATATGTCGAGGAACGATGAAATGCAAAGTCAAACTATCATGAAATGAGGGGCAAAATGTGTACATTTGGACCCGAATAACTCCCCCACACTTGAACATTTGCTTGTCCCCAAGCAAACCATTTTCAACCTAGGTAATATTTCAACCTACAAAGATAGCTATGGGACATTTCAAAAGGCACAAGGCTGTGAATCTCAAATGACTATTTGGGCATCGACACTCGCACCGTCTCAAATAATTCCG